GGCTAAACCAAAGCAGTGAGTCCTAGAAGTACGAACAGACCTGCAGGAGTGCTGGGATGCTTCAGAGCCCCGCAAGTTATTTTCTAAGGGTATTACAAAACCTGGGATGCCACTGAACACACACCTCATCCTGAGCCTGAATGAAGATGGAGACCTGGAGATAAGTCCTTAACTAGATATTGATCAGTGAGTGACAAGTGGTAAAAGGATCTGTGTGCTTTCAATGGCATCAACCTTTCAATCCAAAGACCACATTAGAATGAATTTCTATGAGTTGTTGCTCCTAGAAATCCAAAAGCTCATTTCAGCACCACTAAGTCCATCACTCTTCTTTTTCTCTCTCTGGTTTTCTGCTGCATATATCTGCTCTCAATCACAGCTATGCAATTCTTATCAGCTTGGGGGGAAATTGAAACGTCAGTGCTGGGTGAACGCCAGCACCTTTTCCATTGATGGCTATGTCGTCGGCTGATGCATATCACAGACAAGGCAAATATTTAGAGGGATATTACAGAGGGTTATTCCGGAAAGCGAGCAAGGTGGAAAACGTCTCTTTTTTTTTCACAATATGAGGATATTCTGCTTCTGTTGCATGACATGTTTAATTATCCTTCATTTTTGCTGAATGTGTCAAATATCCCATGTGAAGGATGTTTTAGCTTATGCAATTCCCTAGAGTTCATAGATTGTTGCTCAGCTAGAATCGTTTCTTACTTTGCACTGCTTGTTTCTCAGGTTCGAAGGAAAAAGTAACCATTCCAACCTCAAGCTTTCCCAGGCTTTCTGTATCTGACGGGCCGTCATCTCCAGCCTCTCCATCCTCTGTCTCCCTCTCTACCTCCGAAATGTCCCCATCTTCACCCAAAACAACTGCCCCCGATGAGTTCTCCGGGGGTGATCCCAGGGCATCTGGATCCCCTGGTGCTGGACAGGAGCATGGTAGGCAGGCTAACAGATCAAGAGGACAGCAGCTCTCTCACCAGAACCATAAGCGTACCACCAGCCCCAGCACCCAGACCAGAAAAACAAGCAGGAGCGACTCCAAGCCTGCTAGTCCCAAGAGAGCCACTGAAGGCTGGGCAGATCATGTAGAGCGCTCTCCGAGCCCCAGAAAAACAGAGCGAGGCCCCAGCGGATCACTGGAGGATATGAGCAAAGAGAGAAAACCCCAAGGGCAGCGAGACCACCGCTCCTCTAGTCCCAGGAAGGGCTCCAAGAGGGAACATGACCCTGCTGTGCCTTTGAAGAACCTGATGGAGCCCCAGAGTCCCAGGCGTCCAGCTGGCCAACAGCCCAGCGTTGCTTATGGAGAAGGGAAGGACAGGAGGTACAAGGAGGAGGATGCAGCCTACTGGCAGGAGAGGGGGCCTACAGAGAGTGGAGACAAAAGCTTGGGGACCAGTGAACGCCACAAGAAGAACAAAAGGGCCGAGCAGGAGGCAGCGGCACAAAAATCCCATTCCCAAATGCACAGGGAGAGGGCAGGGTCGGATGCCGACAGCGGCACCTTGAGCCGGAGGAGTGGAAGAGAGAAGGGGGATAAGGAATATCGGGAAAGCAAGTACCATGGGCCAACTGAAGAAGCAAATAGAAAGGACCCCAGAGGTTCGAGCAGTAGCATCCAGGACCCCAGCTGCAATGGGACAACTACCAGCAAGAAGACTCCCATCACCCCTGGTCCATGGAAAGTTCCCAGTTCTGCCAAGATCCAGTCCCATGTGGACACAACATACGCGGATATCTGATATACTCCCAGGACTCTCTGGGATATTAAGAGAAAACTGAGCCTCTGAAAGATGGACATTCAAAATGGAAGGATTTTTTTTTTTGCAATCTCGGACAAAGCAGATCACTGTGTAACCAGCAACATAGCTTCTCATTGCTTAGGATTTTTTATTTTTATTTCACCCAGTTTGCCTCGGTCAGTTTGCATCAAGCTCCTGATGTCTGATCTGACATGCGTGCTTGTACCAACACGAGTATTTGTACTGTACGATGATGTTTGGACGTGTGTGTGTAACAGGTTGGTTCTGAGAGTGATTTTTGGATGTGACACTGAAGTCTATTTTGTGCCAATCAGGGACTCCGGTTATAAAGAAGCTGCTCTGTATTGCACTCACTGTGAGACTGTTTGTGGGTAATGAGATGAACCGCTCTCCCTGTTTATCCGTCTCAATGAAGGATTCTTCTCTTTTTTTTTGTTGTCACTTTGAAGGTTTAAGACATATTCTTGCAATCACTCAGCTTTTATTCCTGGCGAGACTGATTCACTGTTGCCGTCACCGATGGATGTACTAAAAAGTGAGGCTGGTGAGTTTCTCTTAAAATTGGCTGCAAAGGGTGACAGAGTGTCTTCTAAGTCATTTATTGTCTGTTTTTTGAAAGCCCTACTAGGGTTGTGAACTGTATGTGTGAGTGTATTCAGACACATGAGACTCTCAAAACCTGTTTCCATTAGCCGAGAGGGTGGTCAGACAACCCTGGAGCTTTATATGCATCAATCAGCAGACCAGATACTTGTGGTTATAGTTCTAATGTTTGTTACATGTGTGTTAATAATAAGCATAATGTAATTTATTGAAATTATATGTAGACAAAACTGTTAGTACACATCCATTCAGAGTCATTTCACTTTTAATGTGGACTTAATGATAGAAATAGAATGTGTCGACAAGCATCACCATCTATATATACTAACACTATACAAACGGCAATCTATACATTCTATTTCTAAGATTTCATGGTCTCTAAACAGTCACGTGAGCCTGATTCATAATGTTGTCTACTGTTAGCAGCTGTGTATTTAGGTCCTCTGGCTATGTGTGTATGTATACAAGCTGACTGGTAGGCCTACGTATTTTAGATATCGCTGTAGCATCGACTATACTTAATCCAAAATATTATTTAACAAAGTGATTACACATATATTGACACATAATTTAGATGAGTTGAATTAACAGAGCTTGATTGTAAGAAGTAAGACATCTGCCTTCAACTTATTAAAACTTTAAGAGGTATTTGTATTTTTATCATCACAAATGTAGGCACAAAAACATATCGTTTATCCTCATTTTAACCTCCAAATCTATCTTTGATCATTTTTTAAATTTAGTGTGTGACCCTTAATGTGAGAAAAAATAGTATGTACATTCTTGCTTAATTGTTAATCATTACCAACATCGTGGCTGTCACGTTGGTGTTAAAAATAAACTCAGACTCCCTAAGAGTGCAGTTAATTTTCCACATAAGAGACAGTAATCGCAGTATGCTGCCCTTTGGTGGTTGCACACAGTGCATAATGTGAAAATGGCTTGACTGCTCCTTTGGGAGTCTCATTTGAACTTAATCTAACAGGGATTTAAATCCCAGATGAAAATATACATATATATTTTTTTAATTTATTGGGATCAGTTGTGCCCCGCTCTGAAGACAAAATTTAGTGTTGTTTCAGTGTTTCAACTGTGGAGTACAGAGACATCTAGTGGTTCATTAAGTGCTTTTCACAATCTAGTCATTGCTTGAACCGTGCCCTCATCAGCCTGTTTAAGGATGTGAAGAAGTAACACATGCATCTATTGGTCTGTGAGACCACTTACTAATTTATTGTCCACTTTATTGTTGATATGATGGGCTACTGTATTATTTTTCTGTTCATGCCATTACCATGTATGATACTGTGGCCTTGCATTGCTCCAACATATAAAAAAAAAGTCTTTTAGTTTTGACATCATGGTAGTTGTAAATGTTTATAAATTGTACAGCACCTGTATAAATATTTGCCTTCATGCAGAAAAAATCCTCTGTAAATCGTTTCATTATTTTTTTAAGGGAAGTGAGAGGAAATGATATAAAATGGGTGAAAAAGAAATAATCTGGTCATGGCATTCTGTTCATGCACTGATAAATAAAGGTTTACTGAATAAACATGACTGAGGTAGTTTCATTTTATTGCTGATTTAGGGAAGCCGGGGATATTGACAAAGTATATCCTACTGATCCTGTACTTATCAGTAGGATATACTGATACTGTACTAATTCAAGTCATTCACGTTCTTAAATGATAACTAGGTCCCCATATGTACACTGACAAAGGTTTTGCTTGTCGAGTCATTCATCTAGTACATACTTTCCATTACAGGATCCCTTCCTAATCCGCTTCTGATGTTAGTGGAGAAAATCCAAAGTCCTTGTTGTGTGCAAAAATATATTTCAAATTAATTAATGAGGCTTCAGCAGTCTGAATTTGTCAAACCAGGTTTTGTATTTCTGTGTTTGGCTGCAGCGGTGTAGGGTCACATAAAGCGGCAATGCTGCACTAAAAAGACAAACTCTGGAACATACTCACTTTATATGTGTAACTCAGAGTCCTGAAACCTCATATTCACTTTTGATACACTTTGGAATATATTTTTGCACATAACCGGGATAAAAGGAGGATTTTTGTCCCACTTCACTTACATGACACACCAGGAAAGACTGGCCAGTGTAGGCCTATAAATAAAGTAGAATTAATTACGGCAAGCAAAAACTGGGGGGTGTGCACATGGAGGCCTGACTATTGTTTTAGAAAAATGTGACGCCATCCTTTAAATGACCCTTGTTGGGTTCCTCCAGTTAGCTATAATATTTATAGATTTAACAGTACTGTGTTCTGAAATGTGAGATCTTTGACATTTTCTAAATCCCCTCCTGTTTTTGAATGAAAAACTTTGCACATAGATGAATGAAATGAATGAGACACCCACAGCGCCACCCTGCGGGGAGAAGCGCTGCCTCTCGTGCCTCTGGGTAAATTCACCATGACGTCAGCTGAGCAGAAGTGAGTGCGTGCGAGGCAGCACGCATTCAGCCCGGTTTGAACTCCAACTCCCTTATAGCTTTGCGACATCAACAAACTACACTCCCCAGAGCTGCCCGCGTTACGCGTGCGCAACAGCGCCAAAACATTGACATAAACTACAAATTAACGTCAAGAGGACTACAATTTTTCGGAGACCTGCGCAGTAGGAATCCCGAGTCCTTTAAATGTACTGTACGTGCAAAGATGGCAGCTCAAGTCGACTTGCTCCGTGCGAAAGTAGAAGAAGAAAGGCTGAGGGACAGTCTTGAAAGATTCATTAAAGAGAGGAAAAGGAAGAAGAAAAGGGACTTGTCGCCGTCAGCTGACAAACGGGAGGGGGCTGAGAAAGAGGCGAAGAAAGTGAAGCTCCATCACCACCAACACGCTGAGCACCGGAGCCACCGGAGCCACCAGCCGCATCAGCTGCAGCAAAATCCCGAACCCCACAACTTCAGCGCAGGTAAACATGACCTGCACAGCCACAAACACAGCCACCACCACCACCACCACGACCACGACCACGGTCTCAGCAACGGCACGAAAAAGAACCTGCAGCCGACTCTGCCTCCTCCTCCTCCTCCTCCTCCTCCGCGGAAGGTACCAGAGCAGCTGCAGAAGAAGCGAGCGGTGCCCCCCGAGCCACCTGCGCTGTTCACTTTCACGCCTCTCAAAATGGTCAAGGCCAAGCCCCAGGATTTCAAAGAAAAGCATCGGGATAAAGACCTGAAACTGAAGCTCAAGAAGGAAAACACCGAGGCCAACGTGAAACACGCTGAACTGAAGAAAAAGAGGGGTGAGCTTTATTATTATTTAGCATATTCAAAAGGGGGGAGGGGAGGGGGGGTCCCTATTTAGAAATAGAATTGGGTTTTTAATGGGTTCCCAAAGTGGTGACCAGGGACCAGCATAAGTCTGTGACAAGTACAATTTTAACTCAGTAGGATTTAGTACTGTAACAGGGTATACAATTATAATTTAGGACATAGGAGATTTTAATCTACTTGTTACTTTTTACTTGCCCTCTTACAACAGAGGCTGCTAATAGTGCCATTATAAAAAATAAATAATATATCTCCTTAAAGTCTTATTAATTTGTGTTGTGCAGTCTAAAAAGTGTAACTCATTTGGTAGTGCATGACAATAGATACGTTTGGTAGCTCCTGTACAATAATGTTGTGAGACTGGGTAGCACGCCATTATGAATTAAAAATACTAATTTAATGAATTGTACATTGTTTAAAAAATAATTTGATGTAGTGTTCAGCAGGGGCCATGGGGCTAGATGCAGTTTCCCCACCATTCTTTACATGTACCCTGCCCCCCCTGACTTTTCCTTATTTCTGTACCTGTAGAGCCAAGGCCCCACAATGAGAATGTCAAGTCTCTAACGCTGGAGGAATATCTCCTGAAGAAGAAAAAGAAGAAGAAGAAGCATCGCGAGGATGAGCACAGTGCCAAGAAGGTCCGATACATGCACAACAAAGCGGTTCAGACTGTATGTGCGGGGCTTGGAACCGACCTTACTCCGCCCATTTGTCCTGATCCGTCTCTGCCGGGCGCCATGAAGCACGAAAGCAATCGCCAGGCTGTCAGAGACACTGTCGGCAACCACCAACCCTACCTCCATGCTCTCAAACTGGGACACGTCCCCTTCCTCTCCCACCAAGACCACTACATCCGCAGCTCCTGCCTCCAGACAGGCACCTGGTATGGACGTTTCATGCATGAGGAGCGGCAAGCCAATGGTGGGGGATCAGTTCTGCATGCCTATGCTGATGAGCTAGCGAGTCTCAGCCCTGCTGAGATGGAGTGCTTTGCCCAGGAGTTTCTGGAGTTGGCCTTTGCTGAGAAGCCCAGAGGTGCAGCCTCCTATGCCTTGGCAGTGGTGCACAGCGCAGCCTCCTACCTGCCTGACTTCCTCGACTACTTTGCCTTCAACTTCCCCAACACACCAGTCAAAATGGAGATACTGGGCAAGAAAGACATTGAGACCACCACCATTGCCAACTTTCACTCTCAGGTATTTATCACATCTGAATTCATAGATCATAGGCACTGAGGAGAGCAGTGGTCATTTGGTTGGTTTGTTTAGATACAGTAAAAACAACATCTACTCTTTCTGGGGTCCACATCATGTTTTTACAATACATTAATGTTTTTACAATAAAAAAGTGACACCTAACATCTGACATCTATACAAGACAACAACACTCTTGACCAACACTAAGATGAAACAATACAATAATTCTAAACCTTTAGCAGTAATCCATGACTATGTTTGGCATGATTTACTACTTTCTGTGGTCAAAATCCTGGTAAGGAATTCAATGTCACCATTGCTTGACCATTTACTCTTCCCTGTAATGAACCACTTCTACATGGGAGCAATACAAACCCTCAGACCTTGTAAAATAATCATGTCTGTCTGAAAAGAGCAACAGGTTTCTGTAAAGTATCTCTGGAGATTTAGTTATGATTATATTTCAAGACGGATGGTATTCATTGTAGCTACTACCCTCATTCTGTATGGGCAGTGAAGTGTGATGTGAGCTGGTATGCTTTGCTCTACCTGTAACCTGTTTTAAATTGCTTTCTGTTGTATTTGCACATATTACTGAACAGTGATCTAATTGTTTAGACTAATGCTTAAACCAACTGTTTTATTAAATTACTAGGCATGAATTTCCTACAGTGTTCTGTAATTGTCATGCTTCTGCCCATTTTTGTCAATATCATATCTACTCACCTGTCCCATGTCACTTCACTCTCAATTATAACACTCGAAAACATTGTTTTCGGTAATTTTTTCAAGAGGGCGTGATTCTTAACCTGTTTTGAACCAAACACCATATATTTAGTCTTTTTTGACCTTAAGAACTCATACACATTCTTTAACTAATTTCAATTCCGCATTTAAGACCTTTTTCTAGTTTTTAGTTCCCAGATGTAGGTGCTGATGTATATATTGTGGAATCATCTGCATATGTTGCAATTGCATTGTTCAAAATTAATGGAAACTAATTTGTAAAAATGAATAGGAAACAAAAGCGGTCCTAAAAAGCTCCCTTGAGGCACACCACATTGTAGTGCTTTTACCTCAGAATAACTTCCATTAAAATATACTTTATATAAGATAACTTCTGATCCATGCAGCCCCCAAATGATTAAAAGCCGTAATAATCCAACTTCAGAAACAGTATCAGTTTTTCACATTTGAAAGAATTTGCCTTGGAACATTGGTGCATAAGAATCTAAATCAAGCGTAGAAAAATATAAATAAAGATAAAAAGATTTAAAAAATAGAGACAATAAAACGGAGCCACTATATACAAATATAATATTCTGTAACAACTTGATGGTCAATTATATAATACAGTGTCAATGTCAATCAATGTCTTGATCAATCAGCCAAGTTACTCTTTCGAATCTGATTTAAAGTTGGGCTGCACCTAATGATTATTTTCATTATCAATTAATCTGTCAGCTACATTATCATTTAGTTGATTATTTAGTCTATAAAATGCCCAAGTTGATTCATTCATTTCATTCATTCATTCTAATTTAGTAGAAATTATAGAGTAGAACATGATTAATGGAATAATCATTCCATTTCCATTTAATTGTCTAAATCAGAAAATCCACTAAATGTTAACATCGTTTTCATATTGCTGGTAAAGTATACAAGAGTGCAATGGCATAGAAAAGAATGCCCTCAGATAGAAAATATACTGTATTAAGGGTGGTCTCTAACTGTATTAAAAGCTGTGCAGTAGTTTCTCTGATAACATTGTAGTAAAGTACAGCAAATTGAAGGCCAACCCACAGCCCAGGTACACGTTTACCAACCAGTCTTTGACTCTGTCCAAAGTACACTGCTGTTAAGTCTAAAATCCTGTGCTGGTGCCAAGTGGTACCTGCGCTTAAAGAACGGAGCTGCTTTGGTTCTGTGATTATTAGAGATTATACTTTCACTGCCTGAGAAAGATGGCAGAGAGGAGAATGAATGAGCCAGGATTTGCATGTGTGATGTTAGATCTGCAGAGGACACAGAGAGCTCAGTGGCTTTCTGTTTATGCAGGGAATGTAGACCTAGTTTGATCATTTCAACACTGCAGAGTCCAGAGAATAAATTGATGCTTTGAGAGCATAATGATTGGACTAAAATGCTTTGTTATATCTGCTGCACTTTTCTGGGTCAGCGCTGTATGCTGCTGGATAGAAAACATGTTATAATCGCAGCAGTGTTCACATACCAGGAAAATAATGTTATGCAGATTCATGTAGCCTAAATACTCACCTGAAAAAAAAAAAGAAATCTGCATTTAATAGTAATTTAATAGTAATAGTAAACTCACCTGCTGCTAGAATCAAAGTGCAAATTCTACCTCTAATTTGAAGGGTTATTTCAGACAAAAGTAATAGTTTAAGTTACATACTGCCTCCGTGGAGCAGTCATTTTGTTTTTTTGCTCAGAGTAGTACAGTGATGACCACTCGAGGAAGTGAGGACATTTTAGTATAGCATTAGCAATTATATCTCGTACTGTAAATACAGCATATTTAAGACAGAGGCTAAATTGTCAAAATGACAAGAGCTGTGTTCCTTTTGTACACTGCTTACTAAACCTGTGCAGGTTTTGAGGAAAAGTGACAAAATTAAATATGCAAAACAGTCAGTATGGATCTTTTTTTGTGTACACTAACTGTTAAAACTGTATAGAATGACAATTAGTATACAGTGTATACAGTTAGTGTGCAGAATCAAATGGGACACACTGAATGACAGAAGCTGTGTCTCCACTCCTAGGTGAGCCGGACTTACTGTTCAGGAACGTACCGGTCTGGACCCATGAGGCAGATCAGCCTGGTGGGAGCCGTGGATGAGGAAGTTGGAGACTATTTCCCAGAGTTCCTTGACATGCTGGAGGAGTCGCCCTTTCTCAAGGTCAGAGGAAGATTTATTTTTGGGGGAAAAGTTGGTACTTTAGCTTACATTAAAAAAAAAGTTCTGTAACTTCAGGCCTGATGAAGTGTCCTGACCCCTTGGCGCAACAGTCACAGCCGAATGTTTTATGCTCTAACATACCCTGTGCACCCTCCTCTAGACCTCAGGCTAGAATCACTTAATATGCTAAATTCAGCATGTTTCTGTCAGGAAGCTCATTAAGATGTACAAGTACTACAGGCCATAATAACTCCATTGCAAATGCATTGTTATTGCTGTAACATCTGTTCAGTCTGTTTGCATGTTTCATAAACAATATGTAAACACAAACTAAATAACATACAGTATTTTGTCATAATATGGTGGCTTGGAATCCCATTTTTCATCATTTGCAAAAACATACTATTTCTGTGATTCTAGCATAAGCCCATGCCCACAGGTTTAGCAACATATAGTATACTATATTTAACTGGTGGGATCCCACTCTAAGCTTGTTTGTGGAATTTGGTTGAATTTCATAAAGGTAAAAATTACAGCTGTGTGTGTGTGTGTGTGTGTGTGTGTGTGTGTGTGTGTGTGTGTGTGTGTGTGTGTGTGTGTGTGTGTGTGTGTGTGTCACCATAGATGACTCTACCATGGGGAAGCCTCTCCAGTCTGAAGCTGGACTGTCGCTCCCAGAGTGACGATGGGCCCATCATGTGGGTGCGACCAGGAGAACAAATGGTACCCACTGCTGACATGCCCAAGTCGCCTTTCAAAAGACGCAGGTACAACCCCAGCTGCCGAGGAAATATAAGAACCCAGTTCCATATTCATAGAGGATAGAATAATAATTGTAATGGGAAAACATTTGAGTTTAGGCAGGACTGTGAGAATACAGACTGAAAACCTGTCTTCCCGTGCTTCTCATATCCCCTTCCATCCTCACATATTTTTGTCTAGGTCCATGAATGAGATAAAAAATCTACACTACCTACCGAGGGCCAGTGAACCCAGAGAGGTCCTGTTTGAAGACCGGACTAAGGCCCATGCTGACCATGTAGGTCAGAGTTTTGACTGGCAGAGCACTGCTGCTGTCGGGGTACTGAAGGCAGTGCACTTTGGAGAGTGGTGAGTGTCCTTTCATATGCTTTAATTCTTCTTAATCACATAAGGATATGTGATAAGGAAGGAGTATTAACCTGTGTTTTATGGTTTTTATAATCTATTGCAGGAATAACCGACCTCGGATAACCAAAGATGTAGTGTGTTTCCAAGCTGGGGACTTCAACGAAGTTGTCCAGAGGCTGCAGTTGGATCTGTACGAGCCCCCAGTGTCTCAGGTGAGAACCCGAATTTTCATACATAATCCATTTCATACATAATCCCGCCACATATTGGATTTCCTGGACTGTGTGTCATATGCCAGAAAACATTTAAAACATGAACCACTGTGTATCTTTCCAGTGTGTCCAGTGGGTGGACGATGCCAAGCTCAACCAGCTGAGGAGGGAAGGCATCCGCTACGTCCGGGTCCAGCTCTGTGACGACGACATTTACTTCATCCCAAGGAACGTCATCCACCAGTTTAAGACGGTGTCTGCAGTCTGCAGTCTGGCCTGGCACATCCGCCTCAAACAGTACCATCCAGAGGAGAAGAACAAGGAGGAGGAGCAGCGGCCAAACGATCTCAGCCCCACCTCAGGCCGAGTCTCTTTTTCCTTCCCCGCCAGGCCTGACGCCACCGTAACCCCCTGTGCGCGACCACAGGGAGACAACACCCAAGGTGGGGTGGCAAAGACTGAAGAACCAGAGTTCCAGAGGCCGGCGACACCTCCCAAGGAGCCTCAGCCAGCCCCTCCACAGCCCACCAAATCTGCTCACTTACCGCCGACATACCTTTCCTTGGAACCAGTCCACTCTGGATGTACACCTTCAAAAGAGCCCACTCTTCCAAAAGTTCTCGGCCACAATTTAGACTTCCCTAAATGACCTTCCTCCACCCCCCCACCCCCTTAAGTCTCTCTTTCTGCCCACTTTGGGAGGAGAAGGAATTGTCTAAAACTGACATCTGTGTCAATCAGGAAACATTTCAACTTAAATTATTCTTGGCTTTTTGTTGTCTTGGTTTAGTGTTGGTTAAAATGTTCAGCCAAAGTATTCTGTTTAAAGGTCCGGTGTGTAGCATTTAGGGAGATCTATTGGCAGAAATTGAATATAATATTCATAAGTATGTTTTTTTGTGAGCATTGCAAGCCACCGTACTTTCTCCTACACACCTGGAATGAGAGGGTGAGGCGAAGGGATTGTAATCTGCAACTACACCGCTGGATGCCACTAAATCATACACACTGGTCCTTTATTATGACTATGTAACACATGTTTTTGTATTTGACAGCACCTGAACTGGAACTCTTTACTGTCTCATTCAAAAGGTGTGTACCATATACAGAAAGTAGTATTTTATAAGTTGCCACACTTACTGTAGGAGACAAAATCTTTAATTTATTCTCAAGGCTCAGCTGTTTATTTTTTGGCAGAATTATTTCATGGAAGATGGAAGTCTGGGGCAGTTTTCACAAGTGCAGGTGGAATGATTGTTTACATACTTAATGTATGATTACTCTGGAAGCATGATACTGACATTATACTATCGTATTCATTTCAGTGGTAGAGGCATAAAGACTAACCTTGTGAAGAAGATGCAGTTCACTTAGTTTCATAGACAGATTTTCTGAAAAACTGGAACTTTTCCATTCTAATCAAAAGCCTGGCACATATTGGATTTCCTGGATTGGTCACAGCCAGTAAACATAGGATAATCGAAAGGAGTAAATGAATGTGTAAGGATGAGTAATTAAACTACAAACACGTAAAACCTTTTTTGTCAGCTTCTTAAGTTGCAATTTTTTATTTAAATGCCATTTTATACAGCACCCTTTTTCTTACTGTTGATACTGTTTTTGATATTTTATTTATTTTCTTAAGATTGAGCTCAACATAAAAACACACAAGTTTATAAGGTGTGATGAATATTTAAGATTATTATCTAACTATAGGGGCACCTCTAAATGACGAAGGAATTACGGCTATTGCATTTAGCAATAATTGTCTGAATCTTTTCTTCAGGTGTGGAGTATGTCTTCAGAATTTGGTATGTAAATATTATGTTGTTATATGTGAATGCTGTTTGTGCTCTCAAGTCATTTTTCACTTCAAATTCATCTTCACCTTTAGTTTTAGCTGGTAATGTCACTGGGTTGATAAAGGCACCGTTGTAGAAGGTCACTGTGGTTTAGTGTAATTGTGTTGATTTAAACTGCGAATGCCTCGAGTTCGTTCCAGCAAAGTCTGAAATAATGAAGCCTCCTACAAAATGATCCGAGGCTGAACTGTTCCGCAATGGAAGTGAATTTCACATTTCTTTCAAAAATGATCGATCCTAAAAATATCTTCACTTCATATTGAGCGTGGTTACCCAGAGTTTCTGATCAGAGATCTACACTTCACCTAAACCTCACACAGGCTTTCATTATGTGGTCTTCTATAAGCAGTCTTCTGTAAAGGAAGTGATCATGTGATACTGCCTTTGCTCTACCACTGACTACGTCTTAGTGCCTTGTACTGTATTCAATTAGCCTCATTTAAAACTGTGAGGTTTATTTGCTGATGAATTGGATGGTGAAATGGGTATTGGCCAAGCAGCCATAGTGTATCTTGTTTCTTTTATTTAAAAAAATGTTGCTCGCATTCATTTTGAATTCTACATCTGCATGTCACCTGGAAGCAAACAATTACTACATCCTAGTGTTATTGGAATTTCTGCCTTTTATACTAGATCCTTTTCAGGAAGCAGGATACTTATTTTTGTTTGTCAGAAATATGACTGTCATAGGGTCTTGACTTAATAGCTCAAAGTAGAAATAAATGAACAGTTCCAATACTGTCACATCAGCCTTTTGTCATACTTGTTGCGATGCTCTGTGTTTAAGAACCAATGATTGCTGTTATTAATGTTTGTACTGAGATGATTTTTATACTTTTTGTCAGTTTCCTGAGTGATCAGTTAGAGACATTAGGGATCTGTTACTAATAAGATTCAGTCTTGTTATGTAGGAAAAAAAATGCAATGAAAATACATAGATTCCCTATATTTTTTAATAAATACTTTTTTTGTGTAACCAGTGTAACACAGTTCAACTATACACTTGTATCAGATGCATGTTCACTATGCATTACGTTCTCTGTACCCAAAGACATTCTGTCCAAGAGGTTGATGGTCCTTCCTTTTTAAAAGATAATCCTTTTAGAAACTACTGAATTATGACTCAGAAACAAAACTAAACATGGTTAACTTAATGATGTAAAGTCTATTGTCTTTATAACAGAAGAAATGACATGCTGATGAACTAAATGCAATGTTATACCCGTTTTCTTATTTCATATAAGAAGCACAAACTCGCAGATGCTTGCATAACTAAATATATTCCTCATATGCCAACAGTTTAACAGCATTGCCTTGAGAATGAAAACAAGAAGTGTAAAACTTCTCACCGCAGACTGCTCACTTCCTCAAACTAAATATTCTAGAGGCTGACTTTTTCTTTCAAGTCATTGGTCCGAGTGGCTGTCCGTGTTGTTCGACGGGGCAGTTCAAAATTTGCACCAAAGCTGGTAACAAGGCACTTCCTGTACTCTGCTGAGGGTGCTACTGTGCTGTGCGAGACAAAGAGAAGCAGCCTTCAGTGCAGTATCTTCAAGGGATACTTGTGATAAACTTCCAACAGTCCCAGGTCCCAGGCGTATCCCGATCATTAGAAGAACAGGTCCAATTTGTTTTTACGTTCAGTGAGATCTCAAACCCAGGTCTGTGGATAACTCCTGGGGCCTTTTGGCTTTCCAAACCGGTTCCCAAATCCTACGAGAGATGAAGACGGTGTCATAAAAACTGTATATAACATTGTAATATATTTGAATGTTGCATCAAAATAGATGCAGGCCTACCAAATTTGAATAGTGAAGATGAGGCACCATGTGATGGAGGTGGTGTTCCAGGTTGAGTGGGAGGTGGTGGAGGAGCAGTTTTAGCTGAGAATGAATTTTTTTTAGACGTTAGTCCTTCTTTTCTCATAGACATTAGTGCATTTATTGAGCTGAAATGTAAATAACCATCACTTACGTTTTTGTTTGTGTCTAAAAAACTTAAGACTCTGCAATAAGGAAAGAAAAACAGATTTAGTTGGCTGCACATCCTTTGAACTAATAACTAGTGGTGTGTAGCTCTTATCGTACCTTTGTTCTAGACATGCTCTTCTCGTTGCTTTTTTCAGATATGTTTCCTGATGTCTCAGTGTTCAGAGAGAGCCTGTGGTTCAAGTCATGCTGTCCCACTTGTGCTGATGAATGCAGGAACAAAACAAAAAAAACTGAAAATGTTCTTTTCCAAAATTCCCAGATGACAACCCTTTTCAAACTTTACTACATCAAGGCTTTGTAAGAACAAATAATTAACAATTGATTATTATTATTACTGGAATCACCACAGCCATAGATGTGTGATGTATGTGGTTGAATGTTTTTCACATGACACGGTCCTGCATACGTGTGTCTAATAATAACAGTATGTGTGAAAGAGGCCATTGTGTCGTGTGCAGCCCCTTTTAATGCTTGAAGCTACTCACCACTTCCTCCTCCAGCCACGACCACAGGAGGTATAGTGAGCTGCTGAACTGCAGTAAGGGGCTCTGAAGTAGAAACGTAAAGATAAACTACCCCCAATATAGGAACAATGTTTTAAATTAATTATGAACACACTTGGCATTTTACTAAGCAAGCCTTCACATCTTGTTTTGGTAAAGGAGGCCTCCTAGTGGTGAAGATATGTACTTCTAGATGCTCATTTTAACCTGCATGCTGTTGTGTATACTCAACAAGCACAATGCAACTGTGCAGAATGTGATAGATTACAGACAACAAAAACATATTTGTTCACTGACCTAAAGTGCTACATTAAGGGACTGTCAACAAATTCAAGGAAAAGACAGAATCTAACAATGAATTATTCCTACAAAGTATTATTTGTATTATTGTATTATTAGCCTGATAGACCCCATTCCTCTGTGCCAAAGACCTCCTTTGTTCTCTAAAAGCTATTAAAAAAAACACAACTGAGCCACATCACTGACATTTTCATTAATCAAGATAAACATGAGCAATGTAGTTTAAGCTGAGTCAAACATACACCCTCCTGCTGCTGTTAAGTCACTAGAGCACCAAATCTGTGACTGATAATAGAACCCGACTAATGCACTGTTTAGTAACATTTGATAAAGCAACGGTGCCGAGCTGATTTAGCCCTTTTTGAAAATGAAAGCAAATATTTTTCATTCAATCTTCAGTAGGAAAGAACAGGCTTGGGCTCAGTGCGACGGAGAAGTCAGCCGGTTTAGAGATTTCAGGTTACGTGAAATGAAAGCAGAAGAGAAAGGAGTTTTCAGTAGCTTACCTTGTCTTGAACTTTTAGCTCGAACACTCTAGTGTGAATGATTGAAAGCAGAAATATTAATGCCTAACAAATGGAAACGTATGTTAATCACTATGAGTCAGTGAGTGTTACTTTTTTGCGTGCTCTCTGTAACCCCCAATTTCTGATTTATTTGATTTTCATTACCTTGCTCCTGCTCTTAACAACGTCGAGGAATTTCTTAGGCTGAGAGGTGCCATCCCACTCGGATGACAAGCCTACCCTTGGTAAGGGTTGTGTTGTTTCTGAGGGCTGCAGGCAGAGGGCGGTTGGAACTGTTGGAAAAGAAAACTTCACTTAGAGGATGAGTACTGTATGAGTTAAACTTTGTGTCTCTGTTATAAGGAGGCCATGATAAACTCACTCTCTGGTGTGGGAAGGACAAAGGACTCGGGGGTTCTGTCAGGAAGGGGAGGAGTCAGTCTCTCCTCAGCTGCACAACCAAAGATAATCAACAGCAGCTAAATGTTACACATTTGTACACCTTCTCTTCAAATGACATAAACAGAAATGTTGGTGGATTTGGCTTTGGATAGCGAAGGATAATATCAAAGCAAAGATCAAAATTAGATCATAATTCAAGTCTGGTCGGCTTACTTTGAGGAAGCAGAGGAGTCAGTGGGCTCAGAGGTGGACAGAAAGGGTGGAGGTTTGAAGTTGTATTTAAATCAAGATCAGGATGTGTTACTGGTGCTAGAAATGTCACATGAAAATACAATACTATTGAAATGATCACACATGTAGTTATTGCAGATAATGTGAGGGTTTTTTTGCAGGTGAAAAACAGTGTAAATGTTACAGCAGTAAATTTGAACTAATCGTCATATAATTGCATCCTATCATTTATTAAACAGTCAGCTGGTTTAATTATCATCTGGGGCATATGCATTAGATCTGAACACTGTGTTACTATAAATATCTTACCTGTGAAGGTCATTTTTGCTCTCAGACTCTACAAGAAAGAGAGGTATATTGCTGTTACATAGCTGCTGTGATATTTGTAATGCTCCCACTGTACAGTATGTTTATACAGAATGATTTCAGAAACCTGTTCGGGTGTAAATTTCAGGTTTAAATCTCCTATTATTTCAGCTCCCATTTTACAATTCATGGTTTGGGTGACACATTCACATTAACATTCTCAATTGACTACAAGTGTCTGTCAAACAGATGCTGGCTCATTCTGTCCATGAATAATGTGAATGTATATAATTTATCATTCAGTTTATCTTTCAAACTTGCAGAACGTCACTCAACAGAGACTTAATTCTTACCTTACTCCTCGACCAAGTTTTAGTTTCATTCTGAGATGCAGTGGCAGCTGGCTTTGAGTTACAGAACCATTCTGAAGACATTCCTACTCTGTTCAGGTTCACTGCTGGTGTGACCTCTAAATTCTGCTCCACTGGAGCTGAAAGGCAAGCAACAATAATCAATTTCATACCTAATTTTAAAGTAAAACCTACTATTCACAATTATTATATATATATATATATATATATATTTATTTTATTTCATAAAGTATTGGGATTTATGATATTCTGAAGTCACCTTCATCAATAGCCAGCTCAAATGATTGTGGGGTTCTCTCTGGAAGTGGGGGGACAGGTGAGGGGGGACTGCCTGGTAATATAGAAATAATTTCTATTAATTCAATTGCATTTATTAAAGTTAATTCAAACATTCTGTGCGTGCTATAACAGGTTTTAAATATTTGTCTTAAATATAATAATTATTATATATTTGCTCACCTCGCAAGTCCCTGACAGCCTCAGCAGCAGCATTGTGTGGAATGATAACCATTAACTGTTCACAGGGGTCTGAGTGCTCTGAATGACAAAATCCCAACATGTTACATGTATATGCTCTAAAAGTCCAGGATATACTGTATTAGCAAGTGTAATATAACAGGGAGGTCATGTGTGCTTCCTTTATTGTATACAGAATAATTAGATGATCAGAAACTGTGAAATATGAATTTATAAAATAAACCAAAGGAAGTGAAGAATATATGAGTAAGCCTGATAGAAGCTAATGGTTTATATCCCGCACTATCATCTGCACTAAGAGCACTTACCTGCATCCTCAGCCAGAATATAGGATTCAGGGGTTCTTTGAGGTAAGGGAGGAGGTGCCTCTTCATCTGTATGAACTTCAATAGTACCTACAAAATGCACATCAGTTTAGAGAAATATCTACAAAATTAAATTCTACAACCCTGCTGTCTGTGTTATAAGACTAACACATGCACAAATATAAATGTTACCTGAGGCAGGAGAGTTAAGCTCCAAAGTCTCGCCATTCAGACACACTGAGGGGGTGCTGAAGATGGGGCTATCTGTCTGTTGTTTGTCGTCTTCAGCAGAGTCCATTGGTGCGTCCTCTAAAAGAGGGGAGCTCATTGGAGTGTCAAAGTAGGGGTCTTC